GATTTTTTCTCTTCTTTCCATTTGTGTAGATATGTCTGTCTTTTTATAAATTTTAATTGTGTATTTATTGTTTTAATTTGATATAAACCGCCCAGAGTCCCCCATTGCAGGGAGATGGGCGGGAATAAGTCTATGAATAAATAGATAGATAGATAGATAGATAGATAGATAGATAGATAGATAGATAGATAGAAATGTATTTAGCATTTATTTGTGCAAAAATATCACAATTGCTGGCAGAAGACCTCTATATCTATTACAGGTAGTCCTTGTTTAGTGACCACCTCGTTTAGCAACTGTTTGCGGTTATGACAGTGATGAAAAAGTAACTTTACAGGCAATCCTCACATTTAAGACCTTTGCAGGTCTATAAAGCAGAGGAAAACTGAAGTAAGATCATAAGCACAGTTGTGGTTTCACACAGGGACAGCTTCATTTAAAGACCAAGTTGCCAGTCTCAATTGTCACTAAACAAGGACTACCTGTACACCAATTGTGATTTCTATATCTAGGAAAATAAATAGTTGAGATAATGATACTGGTCATTATCTATAGAGAATGACTAAAGAATAACAAGTAACAAGTGGAGGAATTTGCAAGAAATTGAAATGCATACTGGTATTAATCAGAATTGCTTGTAAGCTAAATTAAGGTAGTAGTAAATAATGCTCATTTTAGAAATGTTTTATTTTTAGTATTTTAAATCTGCCTTGGAAGAATATAAATTAATATTCAAGTGGTGTTTTAATTGTGGTATGATTAAAACACAATAAAGAATTCTAATCAAAACTGTGATGTTATTATATTATTCCCAACAACTGGTTATGAAAACCAGGACTATAGAAAAACCCTATCCAGGCTGAGCATTTCATATTACAAGCAGGTGCCCAAAATTTAAATTCAGGATATAACTTCATAGTAGAAAAGGTTGGGAAAGAAGTTTTAATATCCAACTGCACCTAAGCTAATCAGTAGGACCATTGTTATGGGCCAATAGTCCAGGTTCTGCATAAAGCTCTTTTGACCTATCAGCGTAATGAGCAATTTACTGCTCCCCATTTATTTTGCCTCTTAGATCGCACCTCTCAGATAGCATTCCAGCAGGACTCATTTCTTCCATTTTGTCCTATCCTTTCATGACTGATTGACCCGTATAAGCTTGACGTTTCACTTAAACATGTTTAGAGTTCCTATCCCATTCTTCAGAATCCTGGGCATCTAAGAACAATAAGAGGAAAGGCCACTGGTTGTAAATTCATTACTCACTGACTCTGCTTTTCTGCTCAATTTTCTATCATTGTGCCAATTGAAACTCTATACAGGTAGTCCTTGCTTACCAGCCACTCATTCAGTGACTGTTCAGAGTTGCGACGATGCTGAACGAGGGGTACTTACAACCAGTCCTCAAACTTCCGGCCATAGCAGTGCCTCCATGGTCACATGATTGCAATTCGGGCACTTGACAATCAGTTCACATTTATGATGGTTGCAGCATCCCGTGGTCACATGATCACCATTTGTGACTTTCCCTGCAGGCTTCCCACAAGCAAAGTCAACGGGGAAGCCAGCAGGGAAGGCCTCAAGTTACTCCGGTAAGTTCTCCCCACTGCACCATGCCCTCCTTCCCTCAGCCTCCCTGCACTCACGCACATGCACCTGCACCCTCCATCCCTGGGCCCCCTTGTGCTCGCACAGACCTGTGTCCACAGCACCCCCCCAACTTGTGCGTGGCCTGCGCCAGGCCTTCCAGGGCCTCCCCCACTCTCCTGCCACACCCCCACACTACTTACTTGAGATTCCCACCACTTCCCACTTAATGACCTGTGTGTCTTAGGGTTGTAACAGCAACCAGGACTGCCTGGATTGCCATCACTAAGCGATGCAGTCATGTGACATTGTGCTTTATGACTGCATTGCTTAGCAATGGCAGTCCCAGTCCCAATTGCCATCATATTTTGAGGACCACCTATAGTGCTAAATTGTACTATTTAATTATTCTGGCAGCAAACAAACAATATCTGCATTACTGTGAAAGTCTTTATCGAACAGCATCTGGGAGGAAATAGATCCTGAAAAGGAAAAACTACTGGTCTGTTAGTGAACCCAGCAGGCTCCTGAATCTCAGATAGTGACTTTATGGACTATGAGTATAGTATTCCTTTTGACTATGTCTTTGGAAAGGGAGCATCTTGAATGACTTTGTTATCTGTTTTACTAGGCTTATATGCCAGTTCAGTCATTCCTGACTGGGCAATTATCATACTTATTATTTGTAAACAAGATTAAAAGAATTAAAAATAATACATAATTACAATGATAGATAATTCTATCACATAGAATGCAAAAATACAGAGCAAATGAACAACTTCTTCGAGGACCAACACAGAATAAACTGGTCACTAATGCTAACCAATGGGTGGCAATGTCATAATCTGCAAGGAGTGTGTATGAGGTGAATGCTGTATGTATGGGAGAGCAGCAAAGAGAAACAGCAAAGAAGCAGCCAATTTCTAAACTTGGATGAACAGTAAATAAGTGAGAGAATATGAGAAAAGGGAGAAATGCCACCTGAGTGCTCTGCTAGTACACTTCCTCCCCCCATCCCCAGGAGGGTAGATTATGGGACTGAATTGGAACTTATCCTTGGAACTTCAATATAAAATTTGAATGGGGGCAACTTATTATGTTCTATGTATTAAAGCTGTGACTCTATTAAGTGTTCATGAGTAGCCAGATATTGAGGTAGAGCAGAATGCCTAACTTTTTCCAAGAGAGAATGCTAACCTGCATGTGTTATGGCAAGACATTTCAGACCACCACATCATTATTCATGAAGACCTTCAAGCTAGTTATGATTCCTGGTGATTACGTAGACAAGTCTATGCAGTTTTGACAATATTTTTCAAAAGTGGTTTATCATTGCCTTCTTCCTAGGGCTGAATGATAGTGACTAGCTCAAAGTCATCCAGCTGGCTTCATGCCTGAGACAGAACTAAAACTTATGGTCACCCAATTTCTAGCCCTTTGTCTTTAACCACCACACCAAACCTGACTCCTCTAAGTGGTGTGGCATGGAGTTTGGTTTTGGCTGTCTGTATATGGAATCTCAAGTTGTATCTATTGGGGTTCTAAGCAGAGAAGTCTTGCTAACTGATTAAATTACCATGTGTCCTGAGGATGGATTGTTTTATGCAAAGGGCATTTTATTCATACTTTCCCATCACCATATTTCCTTATTTTGTGCATTACATATATGTGACATGAAGCAAAAGCATGATGGGAACTGTCTAATTTGAATTGTCTCTCTGTATGGAATGTTTATAGTTGTAGGGTGCTGTGATTCAGTGCTCAATAGTTGTGATATAAATATGAAGTTGACATTAATTGACTATTTTTTGTAAAACTCTCTAAGCAAAAAGAAATTTATCCTTTCAACAGAAGGGAAATTCTTTGTGCTAAGCATAAGGTTGATACAAATGTGTGCTTTTGATATACTGTGGTTATACTCCATTAAATTACTCTTACAATTTAGTTCCATTTCATCCATTCCATCAAGATATTTCTTTTGATACTCATGTCTTACATGTTGCCAGAGAAGCAGATTTTTGCAAATCTATAGCCTTTCAATCAGTGCAGTTCAGGAATGTACTGTAAAGCTGATGGAGTGTAACTATAGAACTTAAAAATTTTGAATGCTGTGGTAAAATATATTTCCCCCTTCCCCCTTTTACTATGTTTAAAAATAAATTAGGAGCTCAGCATTAAATAGAAATCAGACTGATTAAACTGGTGAAAATCTAATGAAAAATTGTCAATAATATAGCCCCCCTCCCCCGCCCTGGACATCTTGGATAGAATTTGGTTTTGTGCTAATTCAATCATTTCTCTTTATGTTGAGTTTCAATTTTGTGCAGGAAACAATTAGTGTTCTTCAGAAGATCTTAATTAGAAGTCACTGGCTTCTTTATTTTAATTTATTTAATTTATCTTAAGATAGATCCAGTTGATGTTTTTTGGGAAGAGAAGAATTGTCAGTTGCTCCTGGGGCAAACATGAATGAACCTTTTTCAAAAGTTTATCAATAGCATTTTCACTAGCATTCTTATTATAGATTTGGGGATGAATGAAATAATGACACTAGGTCTCTTTTTTAAGTATATAGCAGTAGGTATATTTAATCCTTTCCGGTATGTTTTACAGGCAGGGGCTCTTGATTTACTCAAGGAACTTAAGAATATGCCCATGACTTTGGAATTGTTACAGGTATGTTTTTTTTTACGTCAGCAAACACTGAAGTTGATTATACTATAAGCATGGAGAAGCAGAAGCTGACATTCGTCAGTGGGATATTTTGGATTCCTTACAAAGAGAAAGTGACTCTTCAGATGTTGATTTCTGTCTTTAGTAACATAAATGCTGCAAATATATTGATAACGAAAAATTTACATTTAGTTATGATTATTACATCTATAAAGAAAGTCAGTAGAATTATGATGCTTATATATCCTATATCAATACGATACTTGAACTACAGTGATTAGCTCATGTCTTGGATATATGTATTTATTTATTCATCTGTTTTCTGACTAATCTATAATTTAAATGAGGTACAGTTACATGTACATGTGAGAAATCACTTTTCTAACTGATTATGTACACAAAGCTGTTAGCTTCAGAATACCTATGCTATAGCTAACAGAAAAGGACCAGTTTATTTTTAATTTATGTTAATTTCTGTTACACATGAGCTTGTTTCAGATGGAATAGGATTCAAATAAAACAAATTTGTGTGAACATTGAAAACTGAATGCTAATTCATTTAACAACTATAAATGATGCCTGGTTTGTTCAGTTGTAAGAATTCCTTATAAACTTTTTTCTAGCACAGTAGATGGCAGTAGAACAACATATTTTATTTTGAAAATATATAAAAGAGAAGAAAAAGAGAAAAAAACGAACAAAAAAATAAATCACATAAATAGATTATACTGCATATGAGAAATAATTCAGATTAGAGCCAAGTCCCTGTCACAATGGCAGGCTTTCTAATTGTGCCCAAAATGTTTTTTTTTTTTTAAATAGTCACTTTTATTTCACGAAGAAATTGAAACTGAAACTTATGCCCAGTTATAAAGCTGAAAGTCAGGAAAGTTAAACCTCCATCATACCAAATTAGATAAGTAAAATTTAATGTTTTTCCTTCCCATAAAAACATTCTTAATCTGCTTGAAATCACTTGTATCTCTATGCTAATACTGTACCTTTAAGAAAATATAGAAATATTACATGATGTATCGGTCACCATAAACTCAACTGGATGTTTAAATACCTATTTACAGTATATCAAATTTGATTTTAAAAAAACTTATTATATTTAGCACCACCAATAAAGGGGTTTTCTTTGGAATATCTATTCTGACATATTTTGGGGAGTTTGGGGGGGGATTAATGGGATATATATTTTGACTTGCAAATACCTGTTATTAATGCTCATAACTATCTTTATTTTCAGTCTACAAGAATTGGAATGTCTGTGAATGCAATTCGAAAGCAAAGTACAGATGAAGAAATTACATCTCTAGCAAAATCTCTCATTAAATCATGGAAGAAATTATTAGGTACGGTTGCACCAAGTATTTGCATTTTCTCTTCAGCTGATTTTCAAATTAATCTAAATATTAACTCCTTTTCTCAAGTCTTGCATAACCAGTTTCTTCTTATGTTTTTTGGCCTTTTGGCTGTGGTGAGGAATGCAACATCAGGCCTTAAAGATATTCCTTTTTGATCATACTACTTGCTACTGACTACTTGGTTTGGCTGATGAATATGGTTGCAGGTAGGAAGGATGGATATTCTGGAGAATTCTCAAGTAGTTTAGTATGTGTTAGACAGTTGAGAATGGTTGAAGCATAGGGAAAAGAGCATTTTGAAATTTACGTTCTTTTAAAAAAAAAATTCAAACCTAATGCAGTGAGGCTATAGTGAAACCTTAAAATATAAACTAAGATTTTTACATCAAGTATTAAAATATAATTATTTTAAAAACTATATATAAGAAAGGGATTAATAATAATGATGATGATGATGATGATGATGATGATGCAGCATCTTGAAGACAGACCAGTAAACTATAGAAACCTAATTAAAACTCATTGTACTATAGTAAATTTTCACTAAACTTAAAAAAAAAAAAAAAAGGACCCAGGGATTAAATAATATTGATGAATCTACCTTACAAAATTCTCTCAAGGTCTATAGATAGTTTTCTCCAGCCAGATGTGAATGACAGCTTCCAAGAATCTTAGCTAGCCTATAATCAGAATGGTGTGAGTTGTATACCACAACATCTGGAGATTACGATAATGTTCATGGAATAATTATTTATTTTGTAATCAAATTTCTACCTTTTACTAGGATTCTTGATTCTCTCAACCTTGATAATATATATTTCTGATCTTAAGAGTTACCCTTTTATTAGTCCTTTCTTGGTTTCATTCTCTGCCTTATTTGCCCCATATTTTAAACCACTGTGAATATCCAAAATTTTCATCCCTATCTAAAGGCTACCATGGGGAGGGCAGGGAGGAGGCAGTCAGCTGTTTCAGAGTTGATACACTGGGAGAGAGAAATGTAATGCTTTTACTCACAGATTTGTTACGTATCACAAATCCTCCCTCAAGCTACACTGTGTCTTAGTGGGGAAAAAAAACACTTAATTTTTCTACCTGTGGGAAACAGCAGTTTAGAAGATAGTTATAGATTCAGAAAATAGCAACAGAGTGGGTTAAAAATATACTCCTTCCCTTTGAATGTTCTGTGCTGATGATAAAGCTATTTTCATTTTTATACCAAGAATTAGAAAAACTCATTGTGCCTCTCTGATGCATGCTGGCAGGTTTCAATTATGCATAGTTAGTGTTAAGTATCATCTTGAGATTAGACAAAACTAAACAGTAGTTAACATAGAATGAAATGGCTACATAGAGGAGAAGAGGGAAGGGAAAAGCACAGGAAGCAAAGATTTATCAGGTCTGTTCTTATAAAGCTAACTGATGATTTAATATTCGGTGTCATTATCTTTTTTAAATAATTTTATTAAGAATTACATTATATAGATAATACTAATACAAACTACAAAAGGTCAAAATACAAAAAAATAAGGAAAAGAAGTGCAGAGAAAAAAGAAAAAAAGGAAAGAAAAAAAAAACCTCCCGCCTTCATCCCCAGTAAGTATAGTTAACATTAACAGCTTATCACCATCTCTTAAAATATAACCAACCATCTCTTCATCCCATATCCCAGCCCATTCTCTGTAAATAAGTCTGTAAAACCTCATTACTCCAAATTACTCACAAAAGTCCATTGAGGGTTAAGAAGTAATAACATAACTATTGCAAACTGTATCTAAGAAACCCACATTGAATCTTTCCTTTTATGTTTGTTTCTCTTTTTCTATTTAAACAAATCCTCCCTGTCACATTTCTTTAAATAAACAAAACTTTTAAAACATCATCATTCAGTCTTAGTCCACATAAATCCATTAAACATTTCCAGAAATAACACTCCATCTATTTTAACCTTGATCAAGTAAACGATTCTGTCCCCTTTCTTAGAACAATCTTTAGTCATTTCAGATAATATCCAGACATCCCGGGGGGGGGGGTTATGCTCTCTTTGTCTCTTCTCACAAAGTCATTGTGAATATGAAGAGGTTATCCATTTCACTCTTCATATTCTCACTGTCTCTTCTCACAAAACCATTGACAACTTTAACAGATCTCTTTTGTAAATCCAGTATAGAAGAGTTATCCACATCACTCTTCTGGTTTAGTATTTGTATGTCTTTTTTAATTGTTAAAACATCAGCCAGTTTCATTTGTATATCCCACAGTTCATCTTTTTGTACATCCAACTGTTTCATCTTTTCCATCTGCTTATACACTTTTAAATCCACATTTAAGTCAATTTCAGCTTTATTCAGTAAAATTTGTTCCTTTTCCATAACACCTTCCCATTTATCTATCATAGCAGATAACTGTGAAAGTATTTTCTGCACCGAAAAATCATAGACCACTCTCAGCAGATCCATTAATGCATTCATTTGCTTCTGGTGCCCTCTAGTGACCAGCTTTCCAAGTCGTCAGTTATTCAGATGTAAACAGAAAGTTTTCTATGTGAAGGATTCTTTTAATTAACTTCAAAGTCTTAATTCAAGTCCATCTAAACCCTTAATCTGTTTAAAACTTTCAAAAGTCAGCACTCTAATCACCCTTTTGTTGTATGTTACAAAGAAGAAAATTTTTACAAAACCTTAAACTTGTAATATTCTTTCTTAAGGGATTGAAGAAAAAACTCATCCAGTGAATGCAATAAAACTTGTGGTTCTGAAGGTTCTCCATCTTTAAAAAACAATTTAAAAAATTTTAAAAAGTAAAATCCAAGGTGATTAAGAAGTGAGGTTTGGTCAAACCTTGAGACTGTGAGGGCTACATTAACATCTATAAGCTCGATGAAATCCTGCGACTCTCAGCTGATTGCAAGTGGCTGCAAAAACCTCAGTTCTTGCTGTCTACTCACGTAAAACAGCTGTCCAGAGTATGTGTGGGCAATCTTGAAGATCTCTCCTTTATCCAGAGAGATTTCGGCGGTCTGGATCCAGCATCCAGCCGCCATTTTCAGCTGTAATGTCTCCTGCTGATCAGTTTGTCATTTCTTCACCAGAAGCTCTCCAGGTGTCATTACTACCAATGTGTCTTTAAATAATTTCTCAGTAATCTTTTTTTCTGTTATATACACTATATTCTCATAATTTGTTCCTTCTATTTTTCCAAAATACCCAGTTGCTTGACCCCATACTTACTCATTGCACCTTGCTTCCACTGTTAATTATGGAAATCTGCCAAATACTTTAAAAAGATAACTAGTTTAACAAATGTTGCTATAAAAACAGATTATACAAATCATTTTGGGGACCTAATGGCATGAAGAGAAAGTTTTAGGAATTTAGTTGCATTTATATTTTGACTGTTCCTAACCATTGCTTTCTCTCATGATTCTACTGTTACTCCAGAATCAATAGCCCCATAGCTTATAATATTGCAAGATTCTGATATTTGTGGGCTAGTGCATTAATTAAGAATCTGTTCTTTATTGAATACAATTAAATAGATGTTTTATTGCTGAATCTGAAGGAAGAAAAATATATTATTAGATGTATAAGGAGATGGCCTTCTATTTTAACCTAAACTGAATTGCATATATGTTTATTTTTTGTTTAGAAGCTCACTTTAGTATACACTCTGTTATGAAATACATATTATTGCAGTGTATTATGGAAGGAAGGCAACCATTGCAGTGTTACATCTCAGTCATCTTCCCAACTGTACCTGAATGCATGTGGAATTCTGTTTTTTAATCATAATTTTATGGGGGGGGGGTTAAAACTTGTAGTATAGAAATAACCTGAAAGTATTAGTTTGAGTCTTTGAATATATTCACAATAAATTAAAGCATTCTGACATTAAGTCAATGGCTTTATCTCCAAGAAAATTAGTATAATTCTGCAGCCTTAAGATAAGGCACAGTTCCCTTCTGCCCATTGAAATAATTTTCTGCTTGAAAAATAACTGAAAAAAGGGGCAGAAAAGAGGTGGGAATAGCTGAATGGTGCCATATCCAAACCTTAGCCAAATTATATAGTATAAAATTAGGTCAGACTAACCTATTTATACTACATTGACTCCTATGTGAGTATCAAAACAATTACTTCCATTCTGGCAAGGGATTTGGATTCAGTAGAGATTCAGCCAGACAAATGTCTGCTAAGATTGGCTTTTACCATGTTAATTTCTTAGAATTAGTTGCTTTTTTGTTGGTAAATGTGTAGGTAAAAATATGGTATGTTAATGAGAATACTGATTGATTTTAGTTTGGGTAGAATACATAAGAACTCAGAATTTAATTTATATGATGCATAATGATACAATTTCTTAAAATAAAATATTTATGTTTTTAATGTGGTTCATATAATTCTAATTTATAGGTGTGATAATCTATACTTAAATCTAATGCAGTGATTACAAATCAGTTATTTTACCAATACACGGGATATAGACATGTTCATTTACCAAAATAATAGTATTTAGTAATAATGCATCTTTGCCTTTGGTGTATCTGAAGGAAAAGGAAATTTGAAAACATAGCTTTCCCAATTAGTGTCAAACAGATGGCAAAATTCTACTGTAGGTTGCTATGCTTTAAAGTTCTTCAAGCACAGAAATAATGAGGGGTTTTGGGGAATACACTATACACTGTGATAAACATATAATTGATCTTAGTATATTTGCTTCTGGGTGCAATTCAGGGTGCTGGTAATTTATCTTTAAAGCCCTACATGGTTTGGGGCCAGGTTACTTATGGGTCTGTCTTTTCCTGGTTGTCTCTACCTGTCCTCTCTGATCTGGCAGGAGAGGCATGCTGTGGGTACCATCACCCAAGGAATGTTGGTTGGTGGGGCCCCGAAAAAGAGCCTTTTCTGCCATGGCACCCACCCTTTGGAACATTCTCCCTGAGATTAGATTGGCCTCCATCCTGTTGATCTTCTGTAAGGCTTTGAAGA